TAATATCATAACATCCAAAATTCTATATCAATAAAATTTACTAAAATAATATAGATGCTACTATGTATAAAATTCACTAAAATAATATGTTTATACTATTTAAACAAAAGAGTGTTACACAATATATAACACTAAAATGAAATTATATATTTAAAAAAAATTATAATAACATCAAAATTTTACATTCTTTAAATGAAAAATATCCGCACGAATGTGCGGGTCAAAATCTAGTCTATATTAAAATAGAGCAACTCTATTATAGTGTAAATTTTACTCCAATTGTTCACTTTATAATCAAATTACTCTATTAAAGGGAATACTATAGAGTAATATCATTATTTCACTCTAAATATAGAGTGAAAAACTGATATTCCTCTATATTTCACTCTATAATAGACTAACTCTATTATAGTATAAACCACTAGAATAAAATTTACTCAATAATAGAATTATTCTATTTTTGTATAAATTATAGAGAAGAAAATAGTGTGCTATTGGAGATTTCCTTCAAACAACTTCTCTTCTATCGCCTTTCCCTGTTCTGTCCGATCTCCAGCGGTGAGAAGCAGGCTGCTGTCTCCGGTAAACTACGACACAGAGAGCTTGAGTCTGCTCCACAAAGGATTGACGGTAAGAGCAAACAAGATATTACTCCACAACACCTAGAAAATTCTTCGAGAGAATGAGACAGAGTTGGGATTACAGAGTGAAAATGCCGAAAGCTGCCATGAAATCCGATAAAACAAGACCAGAACTTTTTTCATATTCAACTAGGAATCCGAGATAAAACCATTTCATGAAGAGAACTTCAATTTAGGGTTGAAACACAAAACAAATCCCCAGAGAAAAAGAGAAAAATCTGATGAATTGAAGTAAAAACGATTGATAAGTATGTTACAACACAAAAAAAAATGGGTAGCGACTGGAGGCGATGAGCCACCAACCACCGAGCTAAATTTGATTACGGTTTTTTTTCTAGAGAGATGTTAGAGCGACTAAGAAAGAAAAGTGGATATTCTACTTCACTCTACTTATTTCACTTTGATGTGTGTTGGCCAAAAACACTAATCCAACATTTCATCAATCAGAATCTGTTGGATTTTTTTGTTAGTACAGATATCTATATATTATTATTATTATTAAAAGATTTTATAGGATGAAAGATATCATAGCATTAACAAAATATAAATCACTAACGGATGTTAAATAAAAATAATTATACATTTGGAAAAAGAATATAAACAAAAACTAGTAACTCTATATTTTATATTTATAATAATGTTTAACCCATCCCATCAATAACTAAGTCACTACAAGAAAACACTGTAAATTCCGGACATTCCGATAGACATTAACCACATCGAATTCTTTTTTGATAGAATTCCAACTAGATACCGACGAATTTTATAATTTGAGTTTCCTCGGTTTTTTGTATGAAATTTCTGATGAAATACCGACGAAAATATCGTCGGAAATATCAGACAAAAATATGACAGAAATCCGATGAAATTATATATCCATTAGGCCACAATTAAAATTTGTGATATTTTTGCTTTTCGTCCAAAATTTTTCAGAAATTTCCAACGAAATTTCGACGGACCTTTTGACTGTTGTAAGCTCCGACACATTTCTGACGAAAATACCGATGGAATTCTGATGGATAATTTTGACTGTTCGTATTTCCGACGAAGGTTTTGACCGTTTAAATATCCGAAGATTTTTGACGGACTTTAAAATATTCATCAAAATTCAGTCAGAAGTTCGTTGAAGTATCGACAACAACTTTTGTCGAGCTCCCCACATCACATTCCTCTCATTCATTCTTTATTATCTATTCACTCTCTACAAATCCAGAAAAAAACAATTATTTCTTATGGAAATCGTTATCGATTGTGGATGGATAAAGCACATTTGGATCCAAACACCAATTTTCTTACAAAGGAATACATGGAATGTATTGGCGAATTCATGAAACTTGTTCAATAACAAATGGAAGCAAATACCGGTATTTTAAGATGTCCATGTTTTTCCTGAAATAATAATAAGGTTATAAAAGAATGAGATGTTTGGACTCATATATGTATGAGAGGGTTCAGACAGAGTTATAAGGTTTGGTATCTTCATGGAGAAACTGGTTATGAATATGGTTGTACTAGCGAACCTCAGCCTGTGGTTAGGTTAAAAGAACCAAACAACGGATGTAATTATGGTGTATGTACTGAGCATATAGTAATGATCATTATATAAGGGAAGAACCCAATGCGGAATCTAGAAGATTTTTTGACATGTTGGATGCAGGAAAACAACCTTTGTATAAAGGTTGTAGAGATAGTCATTCACCCATATCATCTGCAACTAGATTGATGGGTATTAAGACATATTATAATTTGGCTGAAGAATGCGTAGATGATATTGCTGTTTCGTTAGAGAGGTTCTACTAAAAGATAATCTTACACCGAGTTCTTACTACGAGGTTCAGAAACTGGTAACGGGTCTTGGTTTACCGTATCAGGTGATAGATTTATGCATCAAAAACTGCATATTCTATTGGAGAGTGGATGAGAATCGGGATAGATGTAAATTTTGTGGGAAACCTCGTTATCAAGATACAAGAAGAAGAGTTCCAGTGTCATTCAAAAGGATGTAGTATTTGTCTTTGACAGAAAGACATAAGAGGTTATATCAGTCTGAATGCACAGCCCAACCAATGAGATGGCATGCCGAGCACTCCATAGATGGTTAGATTAGACATCCTTCAGATGTAAAAGTTTGGAAATATTCCCAGTCAACATATCCAGAATTTGCCGATGAGAGAAGAAATGTATATCTTGGATTATGTACTGATGGTTTCAGCCAATTTGGAAAGCATAGAAGACAATGTTCTCTTTGGCCAGTGATTGTGGCACCATACAATTTGCTGCCCAATTTTTGCATACGACGAGAATTTTTGTATTTCTCCATTCTCATTCCTGGGCCAGATCATCGTAAGAGATCATTTGATGTGTTTCTTTGTTTATATTTAATTTTATTTTAACTTATTATTATTTTTAGGTTCAACAAGTTGAACAATTGCATTAACAAATATATTAATCAAATGATGTACAGTCACCGCATATAGTATCAGTAATTTGAAGGCTAACATACCCATAAGCATATCGATTGAGATCTTGGTTCTACGACCAGACCAAAAAGTATCCCCGGATGCTCCATCCCCATTAATGTTTACATAATCTTTGTTTATATTTAATTTTATTTTAACTTATTATTATTTTTAGGTTCAACAAGTTAAGCAATTGCATTAACAGATGCATTAACCAAATGATGTACAAACACACACACAAAACATGATGCACAAATTGACATAAGATTGATATTATTTACAAACAAAAATTAGCTAGATAAAGATCACAAAGTCTAAAAATATGTTTATAACATCCCATGTAAGTCGCACCAAAGCAGAAAATGTGTTTCTTCGAAACAACCAAGCTCTCGCCAGGCACGACTTAATCAACCGGGAAAATGACAAAAAGTCCATCCATAACACATCAAAATATATAAATAAATATAAGCATCGCGGACAAATTTCTAGTTACCAAATAAGATTAGAATATGACCACAAAACAAAAGATTACATTACTTTGAAAATATAGTTTTTAAAATTAAAAAACTACATTTATATTCTTGTTAAAATAGTTCATACATTTAACTGATTTATAAATTTAATATGGTACTAGATTTTGACCCGCGCTTTAAAGCGCGGGTATAATTTTATTTTTTTGATCAAATTTGATTGATTTTATAAATTTTATTAAAAATAAATACTTTTAAGTTTATTATATTACTGCTTCCAATTTATTCTATTATATATATGTTTTCATATACGACTCAGACTGTGGTTAAACCGATAGATCCGGCGACCTGTGTTTAATCCGATTCAGTTTTAATAAAACATTTTTTAGTTAAAAATTAGATAAAATCTTGAAAAATCCAAAACCCGCTATTAACCCGTGATCTGATATCAGATGATTTTGCTGAAAAAAAATTGATTTTTAATTAAATAACTCATACATTTTGGTATTATATAAGGCTGAAAATTTGTAATATCTTATACTTTGATGAAATTTTTATTAAGTCATTAGAAAAAAATGAAATAATGGTAATAAAAAGTAAAATTTATTAATATGACAATATTAGTTTCTTTTTCATTTTTAATAATTTATGAAATTTATTTTTGTATATTTTAGATGTAACATTTAATTTTATAATAAATTTTATAATATTTTGAACATTCAAAATGTAAAAATGACATGGTAAATAATATTATTAATTTTCATATATATATATATATATATATATATTCAAATTTTATTGTTAAATAATACTAAGCAAGAAAAATAATAATCAAATTAAATGAAAGGTATTATTTATAAATTTAAAATAAATATTATTTACAAATTATGGATAGTATTAGTTACCAAAAATGTAGGAAAAAATCTGTTGTTTATTTTAAATAAATAATATAGATATTAAAATTAAATGTTAGTGGCATAGTAATGTAAATAACTTGAGAAAATAAGGGCAGAATACTACTAGGGATTCTGCTTTAATAGTATAGATTTAATTTTCATTGGAAAACCAAATATGTAGATTTTGAAGTAATACATTTACACTAAAATAATTTCTTATTAGTAACTTTAAATATCCAATCCATTAAAATTTTGTACACTTTGATATTAGATAATAAATCCTTTGTCAAAAATTAGACAAATAAATCATTAAGCAAATAAATTTGAATTTTCAACTATTATTTAGAAACATTGAATGAATAAAACAATTTGAAATCAATTATTCAATTTATTAAATTTCTAAATCGACGAAAATATACTAACTAGTAAGTCCACAAAATCATATTGGACTAGTAAGGTTTCTATTTGTTCCATATTTCTTAAATATTTAGTGCTGATTTATTTATTTGTTTGTTTCTATGTCTTGGGATATTCCGTAAATCGATCATTTATTACTTGAATTCAGACAAAGCAGAGAGAGGAGGAGAACACAGTGATCGGGTAAATATCCGTACACCGATCGAACTTATTGTACGACACAAACCCTAAAACAGAAGAAAATATACAAAACCTTCTCAACGGCGTCGTTCAGGTGACCATTGTGGCAACGCAGGGCTGAAATGTGTAGATACAACCCTTGAGTCAAGCAGCTCCATGATTGGCGTGAAGCTCACACATCTCGGCACCTTGTACTGGTTAATAGATGCTCCTCTCGAGATGGCATAGTCCATGAGCTCCTCAAACGTCCCATTCTTCACCACTCGTATCTCGAGTGGTCCAATGGACTTATCCGCAACCCGGCTTTGTCTATAAACAGAGTTCAACGACTCCTCCATTTCAAGGCAGCACCGAGCCATGACCTCGTCGCTTGGAGGGTTGGTTTGATCTTTCACTAGAAGCTCCCAGTAGATGACATAATGGCCAGGTATGGTCTTGGTATCTGCGTAGCTCGTATACTCGATCACACGTGTTCCTTGCTCCTTAAGTAACATCGATGCGTTCTCTACCGCCTTTTGGAGCTCAGCTTCATCAGTTTTATCAGACTCAATGCTAAGTAAAACGTTTTTCCTCCTCACAAACTTGAACTGTGGTGCGGAGTTGTAGAAGCCAGTGACCTGAAGAATATCGCCAACTCTATAGCGGTAAAGCCCAGCATAGGTAGTGATCACGAGCTCATACTCTTTCCCGACCTCGACATCAGCTAGCTCCACAAGTTCGGTTCTTTCAGCTGTGTCTTCATGGGGGAGAAACTCAAAGTAAGCCATGTTTGGCATAATGGTGTAAGAAACCTCAGAAGGTTTACACATTGGTGTTAGGTTAATCCCAAAGTAACTCTCTGATGATGCATACATGGTGCAAGCCATCGGTAACCCGCCGCTATAGTACTCGAGCATAGGAATATACTGAGCCATGGCTCCCGTAACGATGACGTCAAGGTACTTAGTGTTAGGCCAAATCTTAGTGACAATACCTTCCCAGTTATTGTCTTGACAACAAACCGAAGTTATGTAATCAGCCAGTTCTTGGTCCGGTTTGGTCAAGATCTTGGACATGCTCTCTCTAATGGCTGGATCAGAGATTCTCGAGCTTAAGGTTCCGGTTGAGATATCGTTGACGAGTTCTTTCCAGTTGGTCTGAAGGAACCGTATGGCTCGAAGGAGACCGGAAGCGAAGACAGCGCCGAGACGAAGGACTTCGTGACGCATGAGGAGACCACAAAGCATTTGAGTGTACATGCTTTGTGACGAGTCTGGACAAAGGATGGCTTCGTTAGGGCTCGTGTACACGTTGTACGGATCGTATGGGCGTCTCTTGAAATGTTCGCTTTTGTAGTAGCTTGTGAGAACCGGACGCGCCGGTAATCCACCGGGAGTCTTGGATTCCGACTTCACGAACAAGAAATGCAGAGCCTTGCCTTTGCCTAATCCTGGCACGTAACTGTAATAAAAGATAGAAAGTAATGAAATAATTAGTTAGTACCAGAAAACTATTTATCTCCAATTAAGTTAGCTCATTATTGCGATAAATGAAACAAATTAACATTTTTAATGAAACTCTTAAATTATACAGAAATAGTTTGGATCATAGAGTAAAATAACAATTTTTCGAGCTATATGGTTTCGACCTTAGTTTATAGAGATAATAGTTTTTTTTTCTTTTTTTGGTAATAAGTTAATAACTTAGAGATTTAATTGTTAGTTCTTAAAATATTTTATATGCTTACTTTTAATATAAAATATTGGACCGTTTACAACAGATTTAAAGTTAATTTATTGCGAATAAATTAAAACGAAATAAATGTAACTAACAGATTCATCACAGGCATTTGAAGACTATATAAAAGCTGACGTCGGTCCATGTCTTCTTCAATAGTCGGCATTAACTTTCTTTCACCAGCAGAAGTACCAGAGCTGCATACAATAGAGTGCAGCCCAAAAATTATAATCAAATGATTAACTAATATGTTTAAAAATAAGAATAATATTACATGCAAAAACATTAGTTAATCGATGTTAGTTAGGGTTGATATTTACCTGGTCAGGAACTCGGTTATGGGATGAGAAGACAAAATCATGGACCGGTCACCGTTTGCTATACGTTGAATCTCCGGTTTAATATCATCATAAGTAATGACCGGAACTTTGTTCTTAAATGTTTTCCGGTCAGTGAATCCCTTAAGACCGAACCGTTTCAGATACTCGGTCTCTGAGTTTCGACTAAGTATCTCCTTGATGACTTTCTTCTGAACGAAATCCACATTGCGTGTCATCTCCTCAATGAACCTGAGAGCCTTCAAGTCCTTATCGGACGGTGATGAATGGATCATTGGAGACTTCCAAGCTAAATCAACGGTCATGATTGTGTTTTTTTTTGTAAGTGTATGAGAATGGGTTTGTATTTATCTTTGTTTTTGATGAGGAGATATGAAACTCGGCGAGAATGGGTTTGTATTTATAGTGGTAAGAAGGAATAGACACGTCAGCATTAACCACGTGGATAAAATGTGGGCCAAGTCTTGTAGGGCTCGACGTGGGACAAGAGGGACAGTTGATACGTAATCTATTGCTAATATGGGCCGACAGGTGGGACCCATGTGTCTGAGCCACGTTGGCATTTTCCTACGATTAGGCAATTTATGTCATGACCGTAGCAGCGAGCGTCAGCCCGTACGTACCACGCGGTTCCCTTTCGTTTTGGGCTTGTGACTCTGCCTGTCGCCGATAGCGACTGTCGATAGACTCAATGCTAAAGAGCTTTTCAATTTTATATTCTCTTTTATCAACGCTAATGACACTGTCAATTTGACTAATTAGGAATAATTGATACTATAATTATGGAGGGGATCAAGCTGTTGTGTCCGGAGGCCAACTAAATATTTTAATTTATTCCATGCATTGACTTCGGTTCCTTTGGTGTAGTAAATACTCATTCCAAAAAAAAAAAAAAAAAAAAAATCTCCTTCCATTTAAATTAGTTATCATGGATTTTCACATCAATTTTAATACTAAGAGTTTTCATTTATTGATTATAACTTTTTATGATTTTACTAAAAGTGTATTGAAACTATATATCAAAACGAGGTTTTATCACTAGCACTCTACCACTTACCACTTAATTTTCTGAAGCGTATATATATACCTTACATGTATATTTGTGTGCCACAATCAGTCCACCCAGTGGTATTAATCATTAATCGGAATTTACTCCAAACTCGGGTTAGATAGTGGGTATGATTTTGGACTAATCCATTTTTTAACACTAAGTTCATTCCTATTGGTAAACCAGATAGCCGATAGGGTATATAAAAAAATGCATAGTTGTGTGTATACTCGCATAATAATGCATGACTCGTTTACATGAAAAACTGATTAAGACAATATTGTGGTATAAATTGTAAAGTCGTGGTACAACTACTAGTTGGTAGGCACTATTCATTGACAAATTAAACTAATACCTGATTTGGAAGAATTAACTCCAAAGCAATTAAAGTCATGCATGGGACAATTCGTTTCGTTTTGTTCGTGCTGTACCCAGTACCCACTCCAACTTGCACATCCTTTTAATTCTAGGATTTTTACTTAAATGTACTAATTTATCGAGATAGTAAAATGTAAAAAAATATATAGAAAAAGAGATGTGAAATAATGATTATACAAATAAGAAATAAGTACTTAACTTGAACTTCTTCGAACTACTCCACAATTCCAATTTTTTTTTCAATAAATTATTATGTTAATCGCTTATGTTAGTTCTGCAAGTGTTTTAATTATGCGAAAATTCCATAAAAATATTCCAACTAAATTTCATTAAGTTTTTTAATACTCAATTTTTTTTCGCTATCTAGTTTAATCCAACTAATTATTTTTCTCATTTTAATACATAAACTCTTATAACTGTGTCCATTTTAATATCCAAACTTTGTTTATTTTAATAAAAATATTAATAAGTTTCAAATGAAATTTTAAAAATATCTAAACTTTATAGAAAATTCTAATTTTATTTTGTGTTTGAGAAAGAAAGTAAATAAATTTTGTATAATCTTTAATTTTGTCATAAATTGATAAGTTTTAGATATTGAATTTAGTTTGTTTTCTAAAATAAATATTAAAAAATATTTTTTTCCTTTAAAATTAATTTTTTAAAATTTTTTAAATCTTCTTCAGAGTTTATTTACATTCTTCCTTATATCTTTAAGTAAAACTAGAAATTTTAAATATTTTTCTTAGATTTTAGAGATTTTTTTAAATTTTGTTTGGAACGAGGGAGTTGCGTTCTTTTAGAGGGTATGAATTGTAACATCACGATTTGTAGTATATGTGAAAAGGATTAAGAGAATTTATTAGGTTACCTATGTCACCAAATCTCGCTTATCTTTTCCGGCACACATCTGTTTAGAACTCCAAAGTTAAGTGTGTTTGAGTTGGACTAGTGGATGGATGACCAGGAAGTGATTGCGATACCTTGTAAGTGAGGACAAAACACCGAAAAAAATCATGTGGTGATTACAAGATCAGTAAACAATACTTTCGAGATTTCAAAAAATTATCGCATGCCCGTCATACGGGATGGGGCCAAGAAACCAAGAGAGTGGGCGTAAATGGCCTATTAACCAGGGACAGTCAGGGCATTACATGAAGATGCCGCTCTTATTTGCAAGTGAACTCCTGCCATTAAGCGATAAAGGTTTTTTCTGTCTTGATGTTGGTACCATCTCGGTTCTTCGTTGTTTATGCTGGATGAACCAACTTCATTTCAATCATTTTGCACTCCTACCAGGCTTCTTATCTGTGTTAGCCTTGGCTAAAATCTCTTTTTAGGGTTTACACTTCTATTGCTATTTCTCAAGGTTGATGTTGGCAAGCTAAAGTTTTGAGTTCTACCTAAAAATGTTTGCTTCCATGTTTTTAACTCTTTTTGCCGTGGTTCTACAGTTTGCCAATACTCTTTGTTGTTCCTTTTGTTCATTTGTTAAAATGATATTTACATATTTAGCAAAAAAAAAAAGAAATCATGTTTTGAGGTTAGTATAAGTATGAACCTAAAAGAGTGTAAATTCATTCGTTTATTCAGTAAAATCCTAAATATATATTTGACTCAATTCATTTTGAGATTTTAAATTTATCTGATTTTTTCGAAGTTAATTCCTGTTGGTTCATAACAGTTTCTAATGTAACATATAGTATTACCTACATCAAAAACGTTTTTTACAAGTAAATACTTTAGAAGATTTTTAATCAATGCAAGATCAATGTCTCTGGATGTTTAATGACAAAACCACTTTGTAATATTTAGCTATAGTTGTCGGTTCTTAAAGGGAGTTTCCACACTTCGGCAATCATCTATGCAACAAGGACACAAAATTTAAAGGCGGATAGTCTTGCACGCAGTGCGAGGAAACAATCGTCTTTTGTTGTTCACATGTATACAGAGTTATCGGTTTATCTCGCAGAGTCTATATGAATCAGTTTTTGTTGATGTCAAAAAAAAAAAAAAAAAGTTGTCGGTTCTTCTAATTGTAATCAGTGCCCGCTTAGCAGGGAGAAAGAGCAACCATTCATGGCTCACTCTAAATCTACTAGATCTAATTAAAATAAAAGGGTCCCACTCAGCGTATCTGCGTATACAGTGTGGATTTAGATATAATAATGTTCATAATAGTGTATTAATAACATTCTAATATAATTTACTTGTGTAATTAAAATTTTAATTATAGTATGTAACATAAGGCCAAGTGTTCCACGTGTATTAGGTTTTTTTAGTGTTTATTTTAAAACTTATTTTATTCTGTCTTTGTCACTTTTATCATTGATGAGATATCATAAGGCTATCAAGAGTTTCTCAACTAATTTTATTTTTCATCAAAGTTATATGTTATTAGAAAGTTTCTTATTTTTTTTTATAAATTTCATAAACTCATGCCAATTTTTTTTCATTTGAAATTTTTGGACATGGGTCTTACAGTTTAAAAATTTAAAATTAAATATGACTAGAGCTTGATTCGTTCGTACAAATATATTTTTCATTTTATAGATATATACGTTTGATGTTAATATACAAATATTAAATATATCATTTACATTTTAGTATTATATATTTTGTAACTTTACAATTTTATTGTTTCAGATTTATTCAACATTATTAATATATAATGATTTATATTATACCTTTATTTTGTTATTCAACAATTTTTACTATAAATATTTTATGTATTTTATACCTACTAATATATTTATACAATAGTATAAATTCATAATATGAAATCATCAAATAAACAATATCTTTTTAATATGATTGATAAAAAATTTCTACAATTAGCATACAATACATATTTAAAATTTATTTAGTTATTCTATAAAATAATATTTATTTAGAATAATTTGTATTTCCATGTTGTGTTTAAATATTAATTTACTGTTGTATTTTATACATAAATATATATTTTTTTATTCATTTATCAATATATTTAGTAATTCTATATATAGTAGCATCTATGATATTATTTTAGTATATTTATCGATATAAGATATTTTGGATGTTATGATAGTAAATTTTCTGACTTTTTGTCGTTAAATTAAAATTTAAAAATATGATGCTATTTTTATTTTTACAATAGTATTTGTTTTTTGTGCTGCATTTAAAAAATTAGACTTTAGCATCTATGATTTTAAATTTTACTAGATTTGGAATATTTTTACTTTGAGTTTAGAATATTTATTTTCAAAATTTTATATTTGATCATAATTTGTTTTGAAAAGTACATACGTATTTTGAGTTTGAAAGATTTGATGACTTTGATTTTTCACCAAACTAAGGCATTATTTAATAAAATAATTAAAAAATTACAGTATTTTTTCTCAACAGATTATGTTTAATTAAAAACAAATAAATTTGTAGTTCAACAAAATATTTCATTAATATCTTTAAATTATTAAAACTCTCTGATTCTCTAATTTTTTAAAATAAAACATGAAATAAAAGTTGATTAGATACTATTATAATTAATTTGTATATACTCATTTTTAGATAATATTGGTTTGATTTTCAAATTAAATAAATAATAACATATGCTAGCATATTTGTATAAAATATGCATATTTTATTTATAATACTATTACATAACTAATATCAGTTATAGTAATATTTCACGAAATTAAATATTGTATTATTCTATAAAAATATTTAAAATTAATAGTAAGATTTTGTTACATTTTTCTCAACAAATTTTATTATAACTAAAATAAAATTTAAAACAATTTTTGTCAACATATTTTGGTATATATTTTTTCATTTAATGTAAATATTCAATTAATCAAATGGTCAAACTAAGACTTGTCTATAGTACATAAAAGTAGCACTCTAAATTAATAGATTAAATGTTTTTGGTAAGAAGTTCCT